AAAAGTTTATATTTTGAGTCTCTAGTAACACTTGGGGCCCGTTTACTAACGTTTTTGTATATAAATAAAACTACAAACAAAACTACTTACTACAAATTTATCACAAATAAATAATATTTGCGTAAAACATCCTATTAAACGTAATTGAACGTCATCTGTCAAAAGCGTTTGACATTTCACGAAATTGCCACCGTCCATTGTTCTATTTAAATTACGCTTCTACAAAAATTTTCAAATTATAAATGTAAAGTTTCTACGCGGATTTGAAATAATTTCTCACCTTTTGGACATTCTCTGGATTGGCACGAATTTTTCAAGACTAAGACTGGCCAAATCGATTCAGCCGTTTTCGAGTTTTATTCGGACATTTGAAAGAGAGCTCCATTTTTATATATAAGATATATATATATATATATATATATATATATATATCTGTATAAAAAATACCGTTGTGTAGTAAAGGTAATAATTTGCGTATGCTAATTCGATATTCCGAGATTCGTGTCATTTCAACCGATTTGTGTAGAAAGCGGAATTAGCATTCCATGTTAGGATTGCATTTGAGAAGTTCATTCGTAGACGCGCTTGACAGTAATGAAGTTCGTGAGATATTGAGAATTAAGTGCTGGAATAATATATTACATTGTATAAATCAAATATTTGCATTTGACGCCGCTGCATATATACTCAGCACCCGCTTTACATGCGGAGAATATACGTCGTAGATTTCACGAAATGGAATTGTACGCAGACGGTTGTGTATGTCAGTCATATTGTGATCCTGTTATTTCAGTTAACGAAATATCAATGGAGATAGATTCAATAGAATATCTAACGTACATTTTTTTTTGTTGTATTATTAATTTTCATAATTATTTATACATAAGTTTCGTAATTTATTGGAGCAAATGATAAAATGTCTTATTAAATTGATTATTTTTAATTACTTAATCACAATGTTATTTTTTTGATTTTTTTTTTCTTTTGTATTATTAATTATCAATAATTATTTATACATAACTTTCGAACCTTTATTGGAACAAGTAATGAAATATTAAATTAAAAAAGTTTTATTTTAGGGCCATGTCAGTCATATTGTGTTACTGATGTGTTGGTGGTATCCATTTTAACACTTTCGGGACGACACCAATCTCAAAACAATCTACTTTACCGGCTGTAAACTTGATTTCATTGTGTATTTTATGGATTCGTTTGAAAAATTTATGGTCATTGAAGGACATACATTTTTAATATTAATTTATTTTTGATCATTTTATAAAGAATGGTGACGTTCAGAACAATTTCCAAAATGCATTGGTTGATTTTGACATGTTTTACAATAAAATGTTGTTCGCCGCCGTCATCCTTGTGCTTTTCTGTCAGAACAGACAATACAATCCCTTTCTTTTTCAAAATTTAGAATATGCCACTGATTAGTCAGTATATTTGGTCATTATTTTGCTGCCATAATGGTTTATTTTTTCTATTTATTGTCTAATAATTCATTTATAAAATATAAAGTAAAATAATCTATTGGATGTCTTATATTGCTTGGTATTTGTAGTCGGGGTGCTTGTTGATGTATGTCAAACTCGATTATTGAAGGAGAATCGGCACATTCGCTAATGTCTTTCCACTCTTCATTTAATTTGTCGAGCTTCTTTTTTTTGTTGGTTGGATAATATCATCATCACATTCATCACTATCTTCGGTGCGAATAGTAATTTCGTAAAATTTGTCTGTATGAATGTCTATTTGAAACTCATTTTCACTACTGCTTAATTCACAAAATTTACCAGTCGTTTTGCCATATTTAAAAGCGCTCGGTCGTTTTAAATATTAAAAAAAGACTATATAGAAAAGAAAAGGGCTAAAAATACTACTAAAATAATTTAAAATTATTTTTAAAATACAACACTGTTTATCACTGCTATATGTAATTTATTCAACTTTTCGATGCAAACTGAGTCATTGTTTATAAAATGGCCTGTGCCCTCACAGAATATGTTTGACCACTCAGGTGGACAGCCGTCCCCAAAGAGTTAATCAAAAGATAGGTAAAGAAAAAATAGCAATTATGTTCCTATGAAATCTCAGTAACACTCCAACGTTAAAATGACCTACTATGGGTTGAAACAGCACTAGATTAAAAGTAATCACGCAAAAATAAAAAAAATAAAAAAAATTCATTCAAAAATTCTCCCTTGTAATAGAACATCTGTGTACCAGAACTACACAAATATCGGTTTCATAATTTAAAACAAATCTTAACCGCATTTGTTTACAATCCAAATGAATATTTTTATACGATCAGCGGTTTACTAACAGCCCCAGGTGTCTGGTCGCGTGCGGTGAATCCTGGCGTAGCACGAGGGGTACGTCTCGTAGCGTTCGCGTTCGCAAACAAGCGCGCAGCCGGTCAGCTGCGTCGCTCTAGGGGCGACGGAACGCCAGGATCGCGCAAGTGATAAATGATAGATGAAATCGACAGCGTTTGGATACACACGTATATGCGTACGCGTGCTTGCGAACTGAATGAAAATATTAGGAGAAAAGATGGAGGCAATGAAAAATTTATAGAAAAATAAACAAACAACAAGCGTGCCTTATTTGATAAAGAATGCTTTATTTGGTTCAAGTTGAAATGTGAAATTAAATTAGACAGGAATTGATATGAATGTAACCACAAATGACGTATAGAAGTCACGTTTTTACAAAAATCACATATTATTAACTTTCCATAGGGTAAGTTATAGTAATTGCACAACATCGAAAATGAACCTTTTTTGCATATACTTCAATTTCAGAACATTTTAGAGGGGCGTCCATTAAACACGTGAGCAAGTTTTTGAGGATTTGTGGACCCTCCCTCCTCCTTGGTGATACACGGTGATATTCAAAATTACGCCCCCCTCCGCCCACCAAACATTACAATTTTTGTTTATTTTTTGAAAATATTAGATTTTTTTTTCAGAAAAATCTATTAAAAAATAAATACACGTAATATCTTACTATATCTCTATCTCCCCCACGTGATAATTCGTGATTTTTTGTTTTAACCCCCCTTTCCCCTAAAACCTCAAGTGATTAATAGACGCTCCCTTAGCATACAAGAAAAATGGATGTATATGTGTATTTGCGGGTGTGTATATTTGAATACAAATTTAAGTCGACGATTTTGAGGGCACAACACAACCAATTTAAAAGATTCGACAAAACATTCGATTCCTATTGATGAAAAGATGTGCTGATTAGTTTTTTGTAAAAGCAGGTCGAGTAGTTTCGGAGATACGGGGCAAAAAGTGCAAAAAATGGCTATTCACTTTTTGAGAGTACGGAGCGTCCAATTTTAAACAATAATTAAGACTTGTTGACTGACAAAATATAGAATTTATCAAAACTTTGCGAAGTCAAGTTAAACTTGATGAACATATGTCTAATGGTCGTTTTTGATCGCCATATCGGTTAGAACGTGGGCTAGCACCAACTAGTCCCGGGTTCGCTGGTTCGATACCCGCTACCACCAAGCCTGACATCAGGCAATTTTGATGTCAAATTTTCACTTGAAGTTATAGATCTCAAATATAGCCTCCTCAAGTAAAAATCGCTTCTAAAATGTAAGCAAATACTTCGGGTATAGATAATTAGTCATAACTGGTCTGGACAACTACTGGGTTGCTATCCATTCAAGATTCATGTAAGAAGAAAAGTCAAAACAATTACTGAATGTCCTAAGTGTGACAGATAGTAATTAAAATAAAAAAATAATAATAATAAAAAAATTGATCGCCAAAATGATTGTTAGTCTGGATCTCCAAAATCACTAGACCTGCCTTTGGTGTTTTATAGAGAAGTGCAATAATTGTTTCAATATTTAATAAGTTCAAAAATATGAAGATTTTTAAAATTACGGATGGTTCCAGCAATTTGCCTTAAGACACGATATGCCATGCACCACTTAGTTGCATTTTCAATTGTTTGAACAACTAGTATTTTTTATGTGTTCAAGTAAGTAAAAAATCTACAAAATCAGATTTTAGTTAACACAGATAACAGTTTAAAGTATAAAGCTGGTAATGGTAAAAATAGAATATGCCTTTTCTTACCTAATTATGATAGTATTTGCAATATTTTCATATATACATGATATATTAACGTATATGCATGATATAATATATTGACACGTTAATTGTTATGTCAGTCATATGTATCTGACGCGAATAAGTTGTACATAAGCCATGTCTGACATACAGACATTCTACTAAAACAAAAAAAACATTCCTGCATATGGTCAATAACATGTCAGTGAGATGTGTGACATAAAATATAGTGTTTTTTCAGAAATTTTAATAAACAATTTTTTTCTTTAATACATTAAGTTTCCTTGATACATTTTAACTAAATTATCTAATGAAGTTACCGTGACCCATATGAACCTTTTTCTAAAGTTGTCGAGGCAATTAACGTGTTAAACCGATGATTTGTAGTATTGCATAATTCATTTCGTTGATGTTCTATCTAATACTGAGAATCTTATAAAATTAATAATGTATTGATTTGAAGTTCGCAAATTTACTGTCGATAACGTATGGAACTGAAATACATATTCGACGTAGAAGCCACTTTATGGGTTACGTGTAGACAACGGTATGATACATCATATGATTTTCCATACTCTGGAAACCATTAGATATACTAAAGCCAATGTGGCTGTCGAAGAGGAACTAATTAAGGTATCGACGTATGGTTATATCTACCAACTCCCCGATGACTGTTTACTACTTATCATAGTCATCCTGATACCGACGTTATAGTACACTTACTCTTGAGTGTTATTATCGGTTAAAACGCAGGTACATAAACTAATCTGTAACCATCAAAGTTATAAACTTAATTAAAGATTCATATAACCTGACTATCGGCATTAGGATTCATATAACTTAGCGGTTTGTTGAACTATTGTCAATTTGTGTTTAATGAACTTATTATTTTTGTTGCAGGTTTTTCCTAAAATTCTTCCTTAAGTGCAATCAAAATTGTCTGAAAAATGCTGGAAATCCAAGGGACATGCGGAGGTTTCAGGTAAATATAAAGCAAACATGAATAATAAAATATGTAAAAAACATCATATTCATATAAGGAAGCTGGGAACTTGCTGTAATCTTGGGATCCACTGATAGGAAATAAATCCATTGTAGGAAATAAAGACGGATTGATGCTATAACTATTCCTCTATCGAATCTAGTAAAAATAATTCCATAACTGTTGTTCATTATTTCATAATTAATAGTTTTTTAGAAAAAGTGCGGTATTACAATTTATCCTGTGCTTGGGGCAAGGTTGCAACATTTACCGTGGCAAGTAGTAACAACAAAAAATGACAATAATACATCTGAAAAATTTATTCCTTACTTAATTTTAGAAAAATTTACATGTTTCTAAATAATTGTTATGAATAAGCGCAAACTGTAGTTAATACAAATAAAATATAGAATGAGCACTGTAATATAAATTTATATTGTGAATCAACATAAATTACAATTATTATCATAACACTAATGAAAGATATAGTGTCTCCTGTAACAGAATTTATACGTGCCCACATATCTTTCAAACTATTCATTTCTCCCATTTTTTTTTTCTTCTTGAATCTGTGTATAATTCTTGGATACTACAACTAGCCCCAAGGTTCTGTTTCAGCCCTGTGTGATTTTTTACATTAATCAAGATTACTAATTAATAAATTTGGCAATCTCAAAAATTGTTATATATTATAAAAATTTAATAAATTTGAAGCAAAATAAAATATATAAAATTTAAAATTAGTCTATAACACTAATGAAAACCAAAATTTTATAAGAATTTTATATTGCCTGACAAAAATGACGCGCCTGCACACTTCTGTTCACTGCATGGGCAGTAGCTTTTAAGAAACTATGCAGGACTGTTTACATGTCCAATCAAGACCAAAAAATTTATTTTAACCCTTTCACATGACATCCATATGAGGTGCCCTGTGTACGGATGTCGTCCAGGGACGACGTGTTGTGTTTGCCTTTGCTTCAAGATTTATCAGTATGAGTTGAAGTGATAGTATTGATATTGATAGTATTGAGTTAATTCTAGTTGTTTATTGTAATTTCTAGTTCAATAGAAGCGTAATTTTTAATTTAATACATTTTTATTGATAATCATAGAAATATCTTGAAATATATATGGTTTTGAAAATAGTATGAACCTGAAGATTGTATTGTAATTGAAATATTGTATTGAAGTTGAAATATGTTGTAGGTGGCTAAATGCTCGAGTAAGCAAGGCTAATAAATTTTTTTTTTTTTTTTAAATATCTTTGTCGTGCCTGTATGCTGTCTCCGTACAGCAGCGATGCTCGTATATCGTTTAAGATCCTATTGAATCGCCTGTTACTACTTACCCCACTTACAAATAACCCCTAGCTTCCAGGATTCACAGATAAACACGTAAATATGTTTTTTTAAAGTTGTTTAAGCCATTTATGAATCTATCGTATATCCATTTACGATTAATCGCTGACAAAGCAAAAAAGAAATGCGAACGAGTCACGTGGAATCATATTTTTTAATTACGATCGCCTTTTTCCGCGCTGCTTTTCTTCGAAGCACCTCTCGCCGGGCGCACGAGATTGAAAACGTAATAAAAACAAATGACTGAATTGCTCGCAGCTTACGTAACGTATATAAACATCAACAAGTACACAAGACGCATAAAACATCAAAAGGAGATACGAGCGACGAGACGGAAAAGCGAGGCGGCGATCTGTCGAGAGAGAAAGCGGCACGAGAGCGACTTAAACTAAAGCCGGCGGGGATTTAATCTGATCTCAGAGGTGCTACAATTACCTTAGCGGCTTAATTTCAGAACCGCGTTCTACTCCGGAAGACCGCCGTGTATACAAGGCAACGTCATAATTTCCATGCGCTTACCGGTAGCAGTGTAGCGATTTCGTTTCTATGAAAAAAGAAAAAAGTGGTACATGGCATCGTGCCCTAAAGCTAATTGCTGAAACTTTCCGTACCGATTAAAATTTAAAAAAAAAAATCGAAAATTTTTGAAAACTGAAAAAATGAGATCTTCGAGAATTTTGAAATTTTTGAAATAAACTTTAAAAAAAAATTTTTTTTTATTATTGTGATCTTTTTGAAAATTTTGAACTTTTGAAAGCAATTGAAGCGCATAAGCGCCGTGTCGCAGTCTAACGGATATACATTGGTACGAAACATAATTTTTTTTTTTTTGTTATAATTCATTTTTGTTAATCGAGACTTCAATATCTTATTTACAAAATTAATATGTACAAAAAAAAAAATACAATAAATTGAATATCAATTAAAAAAAGTTGAAATAAAAATAAAATTAAAACAGTAATACAAAAATAATAACATAAATGAACTAAGACGTGATGATGTATGCCGCGTACTAAGCCAGGGGGCGTGCAGACATTGGGCTAGGTGTTTGGTAGATCGAAAGGCCATTTCTTGCTCAATCTTCTTAACGGTCTGTGAATCGCTTGAACAGTAGGATTTGTATGCTGGATTAATTTATTGTTGAAAGATGAACTTCTAATTTTGATCATTTCGTTGACTGTAGAGATTTTCAAATCTCTTATGTAGGCAAAAGTTCGAAATATACCAAGGCGCATTAGTTAGGATACGCAGAATTTTGTTCTAGCACATTTGAATGATGTTTATGTTTGATTTACAAGAGCAACCCCTTAGTTTGATTCCGTAAGTCCAAATGGGCACTATGATAGTTTTGTACAGAAGTACCTTGTTATCGAGAGAGATTTCAGATTTCCTCCCAAAAAGCCAGTAAAAATCTTATTTTCAGTTGTGTACTTAAAGAAATGGGAACAAAAGTTGTACTATTATTCAAATCTCTATAAAATATTTGATATTTTGATGTTCGTATGTCTAATGATTATATTTGACCACCAAATGTCTTTACTTCTTTTACTCCACCTCCGAAACCTCCAAAAATTGAACCAGTCCTTCATTTTCAATACAAGTAAAATGTTTTTTGAATTTTTAAAATCAGGCGCTCCGTTCTCTCTAAAACCGATTTACCATTTTCGACACTTTATACCTTTTATCTTCGTAACGGATAGACCTGCCTAGATTAAAAACTAATCAGCACGTCTTGCCGTCAATAGGAATCAAATGTTTTCTGAATCATTCAAATTGGTTGATCAGTGTCTCGTAATCGTTGACAAAAATTTTTAAATTTTCTTTCTCACTCTCTCTCTCTCTCTCTCTCTCTCTTTCTCTCTCTCTCTCACGCACACACACACACACACAAACATACATAAATAAATGCTAAAATGTTCAGAAACCTCTGAAACGTAAAGATATGTAAAAATTTTCATTTTCGATTTTTGGACGATTACTATAATTTACCCTACGGGAAGTTAAAAATTCGCATTTACCTTTTCTCTCGTCCGTAGTATTTGCACGGTCGAGTGCTCTTTTTTTCGTTTTCTGGTTTTATGACCGCGCGTTCTATTATGAAATGCAATAGAGATGATTATCGCGCGATGTCATCGCGCCGAGCTAAAGCGGTGTAATGCAATGTCAATTGGTTGGATAAATGCGAATAATGCATATCGTTTTCGCGCTGGAATTTAATTGTTTCGCTTGTTTTAATTATAAGCTATTAGGAAAATTTTATTTATATTTATGTCTCAGTATGATTATAAATATATGTACATATATAGAGTAGGGCGGGGCACAAAGATCTAACTTGACTTTAAGAAATTATATTGTAAAAATCAAACCAATTATATCACAACAAATAATACATATCACAAAAACAACTATCTTACTAGGTTCAGTAAAACACCCGGCTAATTCATATCGTAGATTTTTGTTTTAAATATTTGTCACCTTGACCTTTTTACCCCATAGGGTAAAAACTGGCTAAAAAAGGACCGACATGGTGCAAAAAGATTCACCATTTTATTTCTAATTTTGTAAAAAGTTTTATAGTATAATAGCTACATTATTGAATGCGATAGATTTTGATTAATAGGTTGAACAACAAAAATATAAAATATGATCTGGACATGATGCTGAACATAAACAAAAAAAAGTATCAACTCTCATTACTTTAGGCCTCTTGATTTGGTAGTTATTATTATTTAATTTTATATAATCAAACTCATTGTTTCTCTAAATACAATCATTGTAAATAATAAACACAGCTTTTGTTTGAAATACATATTTTATTGACACATTTTTTGTGAAGATTAAACTGAATATAATTTTCATATAAAACTTTGTCCGAAGAAATTACCATTAGAGTAGGAATGACTTTCTTTAAAGCTTGTCTTGTTAAATTGTTTTTTTTTTTTAACTTATTGTAAATTATTATGTACTATTTTCTTATTGTGCATCTCGCTAGTATATCCCGCTCTACCCTATATACGAATTGCTCATCCGATTTTTTTTGTAATTCATCTATCATTTTCCTAAATCTATTTAAACTCTATTATTCAAGAAAAAATCGTCTGTCTTTAAATAACATTATGTACACGACATACAACCGTTTGCATCAAATAGTCTCAGGAGTCGTTCGAATGCGTAGGCGTCGTAGGGGTATAAAAAAGAGGAGCACACACGAGCCTGCATGTAATATACTGCCGCGCGGCCATAAGAATCATCTTGGATGTGTGCACGGCATCTTATTTTATTCTGCGACACAGCGACTCTATATACGTGAACAAACGGAATGGGGCTCGTTGGCACGGCGCACTACTACGCCGAGGGAACCCTAGGTTCACGTACTATTCGGTAGTATGTATGTGTTATTTTTTCCGCGGAGTTCACTGTCTGATGTCTTTCTTAAGGGTATCCGTCGTGCAGGACAAGGACACAGCACAGGATGCCTTTGCCATGCACCCGTTTCCAAAAAACACCCCACAGACTTACCCTTCGTGTGTGTAAAGGCCTTCACGACTTCTTCTACCCTCGCCGACTCCCACCTTCTTACTTGTCTACCCTTATCCGTTTTCCGGCCCGTGTGTACCCCCACGGTAGTTTATAGATATCTTGTTGCCATAGTTACCTCCTAAACTCTCGAATAGTCAACGCGAAGGGTCCGAAACACGTTTATTGCGTATAGGATTTTCGGACGGGTCCTTAAAATTTCTATCCTAAAAGTGGCCCTGTATACGAACGCAAACGCTCCGCCGAACGCCATTGTCGTCAATGTTTGATGGTTGCATAAAATACGAAAATAATCAATTTTATGTTGCGCTCGCAAAGCAATACTACGACTTTGGCTGTTTTATTTCGCTGACGATAGAATCGTAAGAATAAAGAATTTACCTAGCTGGCACTTTTCTTTCAATGCTCGCAGCAATTATATATATATATATATATATATATATATATATATATATATATATATATATATGATTTTGTTCGAGCTTAAATAATTATAATTAAATAATTATAATTACAAATTTATTGAATCCATACGCTTCGGTCTTCACGAACACCTTGTCTAGTGAAAAAATGGTAACAATGAAAGAACTACAGAAATTGATATACGTTCGTTATAATAAGATTTTATAGAACTATTACTTAGAAAAATACACTTGGAAAAACTATTGCAAAACAAATAACACAATCCAACAATTAATACTAACATTGTACTGCAAGTTAAACTACATACATGTGATTGGCAAGCTAGTTAGCTGGAGAAGATGATGGTAATGAAACTATATATTCATTCTTCAATTCAATTTCTAACTATATTTTAAAAATTTGAAAATAAACTATAGAGATCTGAATTTATGGATTAAATAAATAGGATATAACTTAATTTAATATATATTTCAACTTCATCTGTATAAAATATTTGCAAAAAAAGAATTAATTAAAAGTTACCAATTCATTAAGTTTTTTTGGTTAACAATGTATTGTATGTTTGTTTTTCAATATTGTTCATATACATACTGATGATCACATGAAATTGTATGACGAAACGTCTACAAAAATGATGTTCTAAAAAGCTTATCTTTTTTTGCTTGGTGTTATGGCCTGCCCGATTTTATTTTTATATATCAGCGTGTGATATATGTGTGAGTGGATATATGATGGTAAATCCTTGATACTTCATTTTTTTCTACATATCAATTCAGAAACAGAAAACCAATGCGAAGTAATGCGACTCAATCGCTATTGAATAAATTGACATATCAAGAGATCACTTGCAATCGCACAATTTCATAAAAGCGAAATGTCAACAGATTGACATCGACAATATGTTTTTAATTAAATGTCAAACCATTTAATAATGAACTCTTAGTATAGGTTTATGTACTCACGATTTGTTTAGCCAAAATTTATGCACAATAACAACTTAAATTAATAACCTAAATTTTGATTTGGATTTTAATTTACGAAATCTTTTTTTTTTTCAGGTGGTGATATCAACTCAAGTTGCTGTAGATGGACCTTTGTTGGCGATTTCAGACAACATGTTCGTCCACAACAACTCGAAGCACGGCAGGCGAGCCAAGAGACTCGATCCTGCCGAAGGTACGCAGGACTCTGTCGAGAGTACGTATGCGTAGTCTGTAATTGATGTGCGATTACAAACATAGACGTATAAAAAATCTAAAAAAATAACAAAAAGATTTCTTTTAATATCCGCTCTTATTTTGTCTAAATATGCCAACCCAAGGTCGAGACACGTCGGGAAAAATAGATAAAATAATAACTCATTCTTTGACCATCTTTATTTTTTACTGTATCATTCACGAATTTATTTATGATTTTAATCGGGAAATAAAACTGAACGTATGTCACGGCGTGTAGGTTGTAATGCAACTATTACGCTATGTTACTATATTTTGTTTCTATTGTTTGTTTCAACATGTTCCTATATTTTCTTTAAAAATTATTGTTACATTAGTAGGACAAATATTTTTTAAATAAAAAATTTGTATTTGACCCATCCGTGGTGTATCAATTACTAAATGTGGTGTGGTGACAGTATCAATTATCCTAACCAAGGGTCAGTACGATATCGTGCAATATCACATCAGGTTTTCACTCGAGATCATAGATCTTAAATATGACCTCAAGTACAAATAGTCTTTCGGGTGCATTGCTGCATGAAAAGTATGAAGTCAAAAAATACTTTTGAGTTAAGTCATAATTGGTCACAACTAAGATAAGACAACAACTGTGTTGCCTTCTGAACAAGTCATATACCAAGATATCAAAACAATTACTAAATGTCCTGGTAATATAGACAGTTTGTAATTCAATAAAAAAATTAAAGGATAAAATACTTGCAGTAATAACTTTAATTGATCATGAAAAAATGTGAGTAACTTGTAAATGTGAGTAAAAAATATGTAATGCAAACCTAACAATTTCCAACAAAAATTCTATTGAAAAAATTCTACAATATTATGCAAAGATTGCGTAGTATATCATATCAGTATTGATGTCTTGATCTACTCCTAAAATCGAGTATTTAAACGTGTTTTTAATAAAACACCTGAATATTGAGTTTTTATAAAAAAAACTGTAGACATTACTCTAAATGATGACAGAAAGAGTTTTAGAAATTAAATTAAGTAAGACAAAAAGAATCTTAAAGCTACGGTTACGAAAAACAATCTTAAAGCTACGTCATCGAGTAGGCATTACAATAAGCATGTAGGACCAAGTTCTGATTACTGTTAACAATATAAAACAAAATTTTCGAAAAAAAACATCAGGTCGAATTTTAATTACAAGTTGAGTACAATTTTTGACAAAAGCTATGTGGTTGCTGTGCAGTCAGGCGTTTTAGATATAAAATCTAACCTAAAAACAAACATCAAAAATGACTGTTGTCATAAGTGCATTTTTATGACGTGGCATAATAACATATGAGTTACATTTTATGAAACGGCCATTGCACAGCAAATACATAGTTTTTAGTACCATTTTATATGTTACGTAACATAGCCTTGCCATAACATTGGTCTATTCTACGGCAGAATCGAACCCTTAATCTATTTCATATCAATAACGATATCTCGGTCTCTAAATAAAATCGTACATAATAATTTAAGCTGGCATACACACCTAACTCGTATGTAGTATTCTTATTTTCGTTTCCCGTAGTCTACTGATGCCGGTGACTAGGGCCAGAACTCTCTCCGGATTCGAGAGTTTATCCGGCATTCGCTGCGCCAGAAAACCCTGTTTACGTTCCTCGAACACGTATTGTCTTTCTTGATTTATCGCGATTCGCGAACGCCAGCATGTATATAAATGTTGGTAATGACGACCGGCGTAGTTTAAGAACACATAACATGAGAACGAATTCAAATTTTTTTTGCTTCTTTTTCAATGGTTCAGGGCCGAACTGAATTTCCTCTTTTTTAATATCTAGATTTTTGGTATCAAAATAAAAACATTTCGATGTCGTAAGTAAGTTTGCAAAATTAGAACGATACATTTTGTAACACAAAAAACATCATTTAAAAAATTACTTTTCTTAAATAATATCAAGTAAAATAAAATATTGCATAATTTTTTGTTCTAATTTATATTTGAATTATTTAAAGTTAATGGAAGCATTATATACGTGAAGTTTGTGATAATAGACAGAAATATAAAATGAAACCAAATAAAAACAAAATTTTTTAAAATTTATTTTTATTTAGATAAATATCTTAATTTTCAATAAAACTTTCTGGTAAATATAAATTATTTTCTTTTTATTTACATAGTTATTCTATTCACGATCTTCGCAGAGACTGCGAAAACATCTTAGTCACAAATTATAAAATATTTTCCTTTTTCTATTTTTCATTAGACTGAAAATAGATATAAAATTCGCAAAAGAACTAAATGCGTAAAAAGTTGCTTCATTTGTTTAAATTTTTGTTCATTTAAATTTGTACATTTTATTAATTATTTTGCAAACGTGTATATAACATTTTACAATTTTCCATTCTATACGACAATTCTATGTTTCATATTCTATTTTTCACGACTTTGCTCATTATTATGTAATGTATGTGATCAAACTTTGTTTATTTCGTTATCAGTAGCACGATTTAAGTTTTTTCTGTCATTATCAATAAAAATGCCGAAAATCCGCCGAAATTACGCTTCAAATAAACTAAAAATTATTATCATAGTAACAAATAAATTAAAAATTATTATCATAGTTATGAATTTTAAAGCAAAGTCCGACAAAGTGCATGTCGTCCATGGACGACCGTACGCACACCACGTCATGCGGATGTCGTTCATAGAATAAAATTTATATTTTAACATAACTATGGCATAATAATATACCACGTTATAAAATGTTTCGTTTTCGTAAAATCTTACAAAAAAAACGATCGCATAAAAAGTTGCTTCATTTGTTTTATTTGAAATTTTATATTCATCAGTTGGTTTGAAAATATTTATATATTCAATAATATAATAAATGAGTAATAAGGATTTTGTATATCTATCTTATGATAATAATACAATTCATTATTAAATAATCATTTAAAACATTATTGACAATACAAATTAAATGAATTATGGAAAAAATCACAAAAACCATATTATAATGTTAATTTATCAGTATTACTAAAATGATAGCAATAAATCCATAAGATAGAGTGACCGTTTGGGTCTAGAAAGCCACTTTGTTTAAGAAGTCGGTACAACAGCTCTTAAGACTCGTTAAGAAAAAAACTTGGCGTGTCTTTACGATTTCGGTGTCCTAATCCGTCCCTGTCTACACTGTTCTTTTCACACAGGTTTTGGCAATCTGCCAAATTCGTTTTTTTCGCTGTTCCTATGCGTATTATGTGTACGCTTTCCTCTTTCCTTAGACTAGAAAAGAGAGGAGAGTTGGCCGGATGGCTGGTAGCAGTGTATCGTTTTTACTGCTTGCGCGTGACGATAATTATTTATGTGAGTAGGTGCGCGAGTGACACATAACTCGCGAAATGTACGGCGCGATTGTTAGAATGAACCATAAACGGCGGAAATGAAATCGTGAAATATTTGCAGACCGAAAAAGTCAAAAAGAATGTAAAAGGTTAAGTCAAAAATAACGTTTGTTTTATTTAAGAAAATGATTTATGCCAGTTAATAAAATTTTCCACATTAAATTATTTTATCATCTCAACACACAAATGCAAGATCTGCAAAAAGAAATTCCTGTAAAAAAAACAAAAAGAAAGTGGCCGCAAGGTTTACTAAATTGACAAACAATACATTCATTTAAAAAACTTCTTAATGAAGTAATTTATATTTTTTTTCAGAACACTTATTTAGAGGCCGTTCAAGTATTACGTAAACACTATAGGGGGGCGGGGGGTTGTTGATTTGCTTATTTTGGGTTGACATGGGGGGCAGGGGAGTCTGATTGATGATTACGTCATAGGTAGTATTTTTATTTTTTTACATTAATTGCAAAATGTTTACGTAAGCATGGGGGTAGGGGGTAAGAGCTTTGCTTACTTTTACTGACAAGGGGGATGGGGGGGGCGAATAATTGTAATAAATGCTTACGTAATACTTGAACGATCCCTTATACGGTTAATGTCCGAAAATAACGAGTCCAAATTTCCACCCATCAATGATAACGTGGTCTAATCAATCTATATCGGCGATTGATTTTTGTTTAATAAAACAAATAGATATTATGATATTTAATTTAGATATGCTTTCCATTTTATTTATATTATTTTTTCTTTCACAGTGGGCCTATACCCGCCTTTACCCGTGGCTACGCCTTGCATAAAAGCGATATCGCCAAGTGAAGGTTGGACCACAGGAGGATCCCAAGTTATAATCGTGGGCGATAATTTCTTTGATGGTCTTCAGGTGGTTTTTGGGACGATGCTGGTTTGGAGTGAGGTAAGATTTCAGTAGTAAATATTATACAAAATGTATATTTTAAGTTGGAGAAATATTTCAAATGTACCAGGAAATTTTTACGTGAAACTTAAAATATTTTTTTTTTGAAGAATTTGAATCATTATGAATCAGTAGTACCACGAAAAAATACATTTATGCCTTAGAAACTGACTTGCACAACTAATGCTTTAGAAATATAATTTTTTTCAGAATTCGTATTAATGTATAAATTTGCAATAAATCATGTTTACTACTTTCATGTAATATTTTTAAAAATGATTACAAATCAAAAAATGCCAAATAACGTAAAAACAAACTTTCATAAAAAATTTAACTATTGTTTCAAAATTAATATAATTGTAAGTTGTTTGTTTTTATCCAAAGTTTAATTTTCACTATAATAAATCTTGATTACACAAAATATTATAAAAATCGCCATACTATTTTATTTTTATTTGTCCATTTACTCACAATAAAATAAATGATATGATAGACGCGTACGACATCGTAACTGATGTCTAATGATCATTATTATAAATATATAATAATGTTATTTTATGAGATCGTATTTTATACCACATTCGGCCTTCACAGATCGAATCTCGTAAACCGATTTTTATGAGCATTCTATAAAATATTATTTTATACTGACGAAGTAGAAACGGTCGAATAGGGTTTTTACATTGCAAGATCGATTCGATGTCGGTTCTTGATGTAATTTTTCAAGGGACATACGATTTCTTACAGTCGAGGAAAGTTTTAGAGTAATAGACAAAATAAATTGTAAAAGACAATAAAAAATAATCTAGTAGCATTTGTTTGATAGAAGAATGAGAAAACAGTGAAAATGCTATGTATTTGCTATGCCATCAGGCGTTTTACACAAAACATGCAACTTCACTCATATGTTATTATGGCACATCACAAAGATGCCATTGGTCTATTTTATGGTATCATATTTATTAAGGGGGCGTCCATTAATCACGTAATCGACTTTTTAAGAGTTCTTAAACCCCCCCTCCCTCATCCCTTTGATGACACGTGGTGATATTCAAAATAAACTCCCCCCCTCCCCCACCAAACAGCAGTGTATTTTTAGTTACGAGAAAAAATTATAAAATTTCTTTTTTTACAAATGTTAGGATTTTTTATTAAAAATCTGGTAAAAAATGAAGACACGTGATATATCCTCTCTTCCAACACGTGTTATTTCGTGATTTTTTGTCAACCCCCCCTCCCCCCTAAAAACCTCACGTGATTATGAACGTCTTCTAAGAGTATTAGGTTGATTTGGTGTCACGTATTGGATGATTGTTGATATAAAGCACAGATGATTGTTGGTACAAAGCATGTATATTATATACAGCTAATTATATATTTACAAACTAAACCATATTGAAATTTCAGCTGATAACCCCGCACGCGATAAGGGTCCAAACGCCTCCACGGCATATCCCTGGCGTGGTTGACATAACTCTATCCTATAAGAGCAAACAATTTTGCAAAGGGGCACCAGCAAGATACGTCTATGTCTGTGAGTATATAAACATATCTACTATATTAAAATGCTAAACCTATCGTGGTGTAATGGTTAAGAGCGTGGGCTAGCATATACTAGGCCTGGTTCGATCGCAACCTCGATCGATATCAAGCAGTATGATATCCACTTTAGGTTTTAGATGTTACATATAATCTCGGGTGAAAATCGCTTTTGATTGTCTAATTTTCTATCAAAAATCCGCCAACCAGATATTACGAAAGAGTTGTTACTGTTTAAAATATCTTATAAACATTTACTTAATTTTGACGATAACACAGAAAAATAAATTCGCGAATATTGCCGTCAGTTTATCTGAAGAAGTATATCATGCTCTCTCTTTACATTGTCACTCGTTGAGTAGCAAAGGACACCCCGAGAAGAGAAAAAGGTCCCTGAGGAACACGTCTTATATATGAAATATACACTCGTTCGTTTGAACTTATTCAAAATAGATACTTATATAGTTTTGAGTGTATGCTAAACTGACGCTTTTAGTGATGATCAGCTATCATTTCGAGAATTTTTTTAGAAAAACAGTTTTATGGAAGGTTGAAAAAAAAATCGCCATTTGATGTAACAATAGGTCAACATCGATTCTTGATAAAAACTAAATTTAAATCTTTATTTTATTGATTAAAAATATATTTTAGCTTCTTATTATGATTAATAAAATATTATTGTAATTCGTCTATCAAATTAAAAATCAACTATTGAATTGTTTTTCTAACACGTCATTAGTTTAATGCAATGTCTTTCGAAAAACTGACATTCGAAAATCAAATTTTCTAAGTTGTAAATATAAGTGATAATAAAAAAAATATATGCAATAATAAATATACATACATACCTATACACAAATGTATATATATATATATATATATATATATATATATATATGTTTATTATTTATTTCATTATGATTATTTTCGTTAGTGTTTATAAATATTTTTCTTATAGCTCTCAATGAACCAACAATCGACTACGGATTCCAAAGATTACAAAAACTAATTCCAAGGCATCCGGGAGATCCAGATAAATTACCAAAAGAAATTATACTCAAAAGAGCTGCTGATCTGGCGGAAGCACTTTATTCCATGCCTAGGTAATAATAGCCCCGAAAAATTATTTTTATAGCAGAATTATTATTTGCTTTACGCCTTGTTAACACTTTTCATTTGTTTTTATATGATATACCTGATATTTTTCATAATATTAGAAGCAATAAATAAACATCGATAATTTTTTTTGTAGAAATAATCAATTAAGTCTCGGGGCCCCCCGATCCCCAAGTGGAAACATGGGAGGATTCAATTCGTATACTGGTCAACTGGCTGTTAGTGTGCAAGATACAGGCGCACAATGGACTGAAGGTAAATAAACATTACGCAATATCTTGCATTTAAAGAAACCTTGATAAACATTGCATTTTAATATATATTTGGAGATATATTTGGAGATAATAGCTCTCAGAAAACATAACAGCATTGTTAGAAAAATTGTAATATGACATATGAAAAAGCCAAACTAGTGGCGCGCATGGCATTGTGCCTTAAGGCAAATTGCTGGAACTTTCCGTACCAACAATTATTTTTTCAAAAAGACTAACATTTTTGAAAAAAAATTACTCTGAAAAAAATAGATTTTTGAGAAACTATAAATTTTTGACAGAAATTTACTTTTTTTTGAAGAAAAATTTATTTTGAAATATTTTGAAACTTTTTTTCAAAGCAATCGTACTGCTATAACTGCATAGAGACGAAATATAGAAGCGCGAAAGCGCCGCTTCGCCGTCTAACGGATAAACATTGGTACGGAACCCATAGGAATGTAAACAAAATTTATACTTATTGTTAAAATCTCTATAAAATATCTGATAATTTGATGTGCATATATCAAATGATTATTTTTGACCGCCAAATGTTTTTTTTTTACTTTTTTACTAGATCTCCGAAACCGCTAGACCTGCCTTCATAAAAATTTGATCAGTTTTTCATCTTGTTATTACAAGTAAAATGTTTTTTGAATTATTTAAATCGGACGCTCCGTTCTCTTAAAATTTGCCTTTGCCAAATACTAATCAACACGTCTCTTTTTCAATACGAATCGAATGTTTTTTGAATTATTCAAATCGCTTCATCCGTGTTCCCAAAATCGTCGACAAAAATTTGTATCCGAGCACACATACACACACGCACACACACATACATACATCCATTAGGTATGCCAAAATATTCAGAAACCTCTGAAACGTAAAGATATATAAAAATTTTCATTTTCGATTTTTTTGCGATTACTATAACTTACCCTACGGGAAGTTAATAATCGCTATATTTTATAAAATAAACCTTCAAGTAATTGTGCCATTAAACAAAAATGTGCAATAATAATTTACCATAAACAGGCAAAAACAAAAATCAAGAGTCGAAAAATTAATATATCAACAAAAATATTCGCCATATTTTACAGAACATAACTTCAAATAATTGTGCCGTCAAACAAATGTACTATAATAAATAAATTCGTGCAAGATATAACTTGCGCACGCATTTTATGGATTCACCTTAACTACAACAACGATTTACAGCAAACAATTAACATAAATTATTCCAAAGATTATAATTAAAAGATACTTACATATAACTGAAGCGCCTTCAGCAAACCCGAATCAGATTCATTTCAACACTTTCAGTACGAAATATTTTCTCGGAACACTACACTACACTTTTGTCCTTTTCACCTTGAAGTGCAACAAGTAACTGAGGTACTTGCATGCCCAAAAATTCCTTATCAAACTGCAAAGAACTTCGCACCACAATTGTTCCTGGCAAACGATTTTTGCATAACTGTAATATAGATGTCGATGCTATGTTATTTGGCATTGATAGTATAACTTATATGGCTTAATAGAATATTGGCGAAAAAAATAACATTGATATGTACATTTGCCCACTTTGTTATTAGCAATTATTTGCAACAAATGCCTTAAGACAAGTTGAAAGAACTATCAAATAATTGAGATTTGGAAACATTTAAATATTTTAATTTAGAAAATATAATTTATTATTTCAAACTTTAATGAAGTTTTATATCTAAACACTTTATAAGAACCTCAAAAGAAATTGGCCAACACATTAATTTTAATTTCAATAATAAAAAAATCTATTTATTAATTTTATAATAAAAATTATATTATCTTCGATTGCTGTTAGATAAATATTTAAAAAAAATCTCTTTCAGATGAATACGGTAGACAGCAAAGTAGTAGCGTGAGTCCACGTGGTGGATATTGTTCGAGTGCTTCAACTCCTCATAGTTCTGGTGGTGGTTCATATGGTGGTGCCAATGCCTACGCGCCTGCACCAAACATGTCCGGGTTACCAGGATCGCCGGCTTCTGCTGGTATATTCAATTCCACATCACGTGAGTCAACTCGAAGAAACCAAACTATATCGAAATTTATAGACAACCGCCAACAGCCAGTTAAATTCAAATACAAAAAATCAAATTCATCTTTGAATAAATATTTATCGACATTTTAGTGATTTTTTTATTCATATATTTCTGGAATGTACCTTAAAATTAGTAAATTTTATACAGAATTGTGCATTTTAAACTCCGTGCATTTACACGTACTAATAATACTATGTACCTTTTTGAAAATAAAAGAAAATAAGCGTGCTGAACTGGGTAGTCTGGCCAATTCTATGCACTATATTGACATTAAATATAATTTAATAATAATTTTCTGGATAGCTATTTTTATTTATGATTTTATTTTACTGAACTAAAATACTCGTGTAGTCTAAAAAATTATTTATTTAATTTTTATATTTATAAATTTCTTATACGTTTCGGAGATGAGTAATGTTTTTTTTTATGTATTTATACACTTTTTTTAAGTATTTGGAAATTGAAAAAAAAATATGTTTCAATAATTCAAAGATAACAATTTTTTTAAATTAACTGGAAATTGTATATTTGAAGAAGGGAACACCGCATATCCCCATAATATTTACAAATAAAAAATTAAATTTCTGAAAAAAGAAAGCTTTTAGTTTAAAACAAAATAAAATCATAAATTGTAATAGCTATCCAGAAAAATAATCAATTTCTATTTACCCGCTGCTTGGGGGAATTGTCTAAGAAAAATGCTCAAACCCTACATTCATAAATCAAATTAATTAAGATTACTTTTTATGAAGATATTAATTCCGTAATTGAAATACATATGCAATTATAAAGCATTTTATAAATGATATTTTTTCTGACAAAATTATTGGTTTCCTGTGCAAAATACTAACGAATGCCTCATTCTATATAGTTTGGTAAACTATTCATTCCATCAACTCATTTCTCGCTTATCACATTTATTTAATTATATATATAAAATATATGTAATATTTAAAATCTATATCGCCCGCTAATAAAACGTTATTCAATTCCTATATCACGTTTTATGAAAAAAATCCATGCTTTTTCAACTCTTTTCACCATTTTTAACTGATCAATCCAATATGTAAAATGTAAAATATTTTGTTCAACCTATGTTTTTAATTAAGTATAAAAAGAAATATTTTGTATAACATAATTCTTGGTATCCAGAGTTTGGTAAAATATTCATTCCATCAAGTCATATTTCGCTTATCACAATTTATTTAATTATATATAGCACACTCTAATAATTTAAATATTACCCATCAGTAATACAACAGTTTTCAATTTCCTAAATCACCTTAGATGAAAAATATTTCATCCTTGTTCAATAATTCTATATCATCATTTCTACCTTCCATCCATTTCTACCACCCAAATATGTGAAATAGAATCGAAACTCTTTCTTTAAAAACCATTTTTTTAATTCGCACATGAATTATATCATTATTTTCCAATCATAGTTTCATTCCCTAATCATCTTTTATTAATCTAATTTTTCTGGTTTACTAAATCATTTATCCATTACAGGTGTCGGTGGTTTAGTTGGAGGCTTCGGCAGCGTCAATCCATTCGCCCTGTCGACGTGCAGTTCCCAAGGCTACGCCCCGAGCCCTTTGGTCAGCTCTTCTAAATAAAAAGAACAGACAACTGTAGTCTTCGACAGCTGCTACAATCCTGATGTGCAATGTGACCAAATCATTTTCAATAAACATATCTAATTTTTTATTTATATAAACATAGTTAAATAAATGTTGCATACGAAATTGTATATAAATCTGAATGCTTGGAAACTGATATTTGCGTGGGAAGGAAATGGGGTATATAAGTTTTTTTATTATATTTTTGATTTGTTTATATAAAGTTTGTTTGGTGAAAATGAAATTAATATACGATTTATCACGTGCTTCTTGAATATTTTATATATTGCATATACAGTAATACCTCGCTTAACGCGGTGGTTAATTTTCCAAAGTAGACCATGAAGCTAAGCAGCTCTAAAAGGGCTATCTTAACATGCTAAGAATAAGGTAAAAATAAAAATATTATAAACCAATATACAGTGGAATCCCACTAATCTGGCGCTATTAAAAATTAGAGCCGAAATATTGGAATGTTCGGATTACTGGATAATAGTAAAAAAGTCAAATTTCCAGTCAATTGTCCAGAGCTTCGTTCGCTGACGGTGTCGTTCTATAGACACTTCAGTCAAAATCAAATTCAGTTAGATTCGGTCAATTCTCAATTTCCAATTTTTATTTTTTTTTTTGTCAAAAAGTTATCTAACGTAGTTGGCGTTTTTTTAAAAGTTGTTAATGAGTGGAAAAAGCATCCATTACACCCCACTGCTGGCTTTTGAATTCCTATCAAAATTCGGAACATTTTCAAAAACTTGGTTCTTAATTTCACTCATAGTGGTGAAAAATCTGTTTACAATCACCACCAAGTTCTATATGCTCTTCTCCGAAATCACTACTATCAATATTTTTGTTTTCTTCTTGCTCAATTAATCGCTTCAGATAATCATCAAAAAGACCTGCATCTGAAATCTTCCACGTTTATCTCATCTAAGCTTATATATTTAAATAATAAAAAAGTTCTAAGTAAAAACAAAGCAACATTTATCCCCTATGGGTCTCCGTAACTTTCAGGTCACGTTCCAAATTTTTCGATGATTTACCAAATAATTATCGACTTTTTTGTGAGATAACGCATAAATCTTAATTTTACTACTGATTTTTTTGTACCCCTGTTTTGGATTTAAAACAGAAATCCGGCCCATAGAGTGTCAAGCAGGGTATTACTGTATTAGCATTTTTTAATATGGCTATAATTATATGTAAATGTACCACGAATAAGTTGAAACCGTTTGTCATAATAATTTAGTTTATATTGTTACAATACCTGATGTTTGCGATCATCGTCTTTTCTCAATATTGCCAAACATTTGTGATAACACTACTTTTATAAAACAAGTATAGATTATTACAAAAACTAAAACAAGTATAAATTATTACAAGGATGCTAGAATATTCTGTTTTTATCACAACACCATTTTTTAAGTGACAATGACATATGTAACGATCGCATATAAACTTTGTGATGAAAGTTTGTTGTAAAAGCAAACCTTTCTTAAAAAACAAAATAAATAACATACAGGATGTCGCCTATAGGCGACTCCCGTAGCGAAAGGGTTAAAGAACGAGAGACAGAATATTCTACATCCATAATCAAAAACCCATTTCTAATTTAGGCAAACAAAAATATAGCAATTTGTAGAAATGTTATGTATATTATTTGTGTTTGATATTCTAATAGATTATCAAACATATATAATTCAGATCAGATTGACCTTAGAACGTTTTTTTCGAGTTGCTTATTTTGTTTTTTCGTACTTATATATCCAATTCAAGTGCCATATGTTTAAATTTATTTTGATTAAATTATAACTTTTTATAAATAATTGTGCATATATTACCAAATTTATCTTAAGCGGACGTGAAAATATAACACGGAAACAAAAAACATATCGATCCTTGCTGGGAAATAATGAATACATATAGAAAAAAATCTATAATCAAAATTGTTTAACTACACAAGATGTTATTAAACTTCAAACAAAAAATGTATATATTAATATTTATAAGCGATACTGTACAAACATTTTATACGAGCCTAAAGAAAATCAAATCAAATATCACAGAAAATAAACATATTTACGAGTATATATTGTAAATAATAATAATCGCATATGATAAGTTATGTTTGTAGATAATAATTCATAAGTTAAATGTGTTAAGTCAATAAGAAAAGACTTAAGTAGAACTTCTATAGAAATTTATCAACGAAATTTAAATGCAACTGGACCCAAAAACACAAATAACATGTATACGAAATTATTACAAAATTTTCAAATTCTGTTTAACTGAGAAGTTCTGAGGAACCATATGCATATATAAACACAGATATATATATATATATATATATATATATATATATATATATCATTAATATACCAACGATTTTCCTTATATTTATAGAATGAAAAGTCATGTATTAAAATATTCTTCATGTAATTGTTTTTATCATATTTACATCATACTAAAAATGTCGAATAAAATTTAATTTATATACTTGAAGTCTTTTAATTCTTTTTCCACTAATTTCAATAACTTCAAGCTACAAATGTCTCTGATATATATTTATTTTAGGATTATTGGAATACCATTTCAAATGGGTAAGTTTGTAAATATAAAATTAATGAACTTTTTTCTATATATCATTCTGTCTACGTTTTAAATTTCCTATTTCATATATGGTACATAAATATGAATATTTTCGAAAACTTAATTTTTTTTAATAATCTGTAAAAAATTATAATATCATAATAATTCTCACCGGAATATCCAAGAATCAAGCTTACTAGAGCATTCAAAATATATTATATATTCCGAATTGGCAGATATTATGATGCATTATTAATATTGAGAAAGATCATGTTTTAATCTTGAAATGCTGAAAATATTAAAAATTAAATAAAGGATTAATAATATGTACACGGGTGAACAGGATAAAAATAATATGCCAAATTTTTTATATAAATAAGAATAATTATTTTTATGTTCAGTAACAAATGTTTTAGTAATATATTTGATAGCAATAAAATTTTAATATAATTAAATAACAATTTACCCTGAAATAAAATGAAGCTATAAAATAGCATGTATTATAAGATAATGTAAATTAAATTTGTTATAAGAGTGGAGTCACTTCTCAATTATCAATTAGAAACGTTACTGAAACAATATTGTAATCTAATTGTTATAAACAAAACAATACATAATAGTTCTTATTATAGCACCATAATTTGAAATTTGTCCACTAATTCGAACTAAATTGGATCTTGATGCAGCCCTCAAAAATTGTAATACAACATCTATTATTTACCAATGAAATAAAGATTTTGCACGCTGATACCAAGATCCATTTCAAACGAAAGAGCAATATTTCAACAAAAATAAAACTCAAATGTTACAAAATAAAATCATTCACGAATTTGTACCAAAACCTAGAACTCCCATATATTACTCTTCACAATAAAATGTACTCACAAATTTATATATACACTACTGTTAATAATAATTTGAATAAAAATAAACTCCTTCAAACGAAACTTACTATCTTTTTATATATTAAGATCTATTTTAACTAAGTTGCTTTTAATGCTTATAATTAAATTTTCATTATATTAAATAATAATCAATTATAATATAATTAAAATAATATATAATATAATATGAATGTAATAATAAAAATAATATAATAATAATAATAATAATAATAGTAATAATAATAATAATAATAGTATAATAATATTCATAGCAAAATATTATTAAACTAATAATTTATTAACTATAATTCATAATAATATATTTTTATTTGTAATGTTTTTCCATATATTCTCTAACAATATTCTTTTAAATAAATGTGTGAAATTATGTGAAATGTAGTGTTCTTGTGTTAGTTTAATTAAATAATCTGTGTGTTATGTCTATACTCTATATTTTCACAACAAATTTTAAATATATATTTATGTGTATGAATATATACATATATACATACATATGAACATATTTATTTGCGTGTACAGGTACTTATGTGGTCTCGTCGATGCGATTCACTTAAAACACATCCACACAAACAAATTAAAGTGAAAATAAATACTTTAATCACTGGGTATAATGTTCAATTATTTAAGCTAAATATTCTATGATTGCATTATATTATATTTCTTTATTTTTCATATGTTAGTATATAGTTTGAGTTTACCATCAACAAGATCACAAGTTAAAAATTTGTACGATATTTGAACCTATGCAAATCATGTCATGTTATATTATTAATTGTTCGTGTACACATACAAATAAATATATATGCACATATGTATTTACATATATCATTTCATCCTAAAACTATTATAACTTTTTACAATTATTTCTCTTCATAATTAATGACATTATATACTATATATGCTGTTAACTAATGTTACTATTTAGTTTTGCTAGGAACATACATATATGCATATATAAAGATATACATATACTATACATACATATTATATATATATATATATATATATATATATATATATATATATATATATATTTATGGGAACGTATGTACATAAGTATATGATTGCATTTCATTATCGGATAGACAAGTCTAACTCCAATACACGTTTATATATATATGCATGTACTAAAATTGATACATTATAAATTTAAACATATATATATATATATATATATATATATATATCATACATATGATGGTCTTTATCATCGGTGAATTGGAGGTTGAATTGGTATATGCTCAGTAAATTTTATCAATGTATTGTATTTATATTTCTGTTTCAGAAGGATAAAAAGCGATTATATCGTTAAAACGAGAAATTTCAATGTTTTTTGATAAGATTATTTAAATTCGGAATTTTTATTTCAGTTTCAAAGTTTAATAAAGTATGCGTGTGATTGAGTGAATCCTCAAGAAATCCAGAATAATATACAAAAAATGTTTATATACTTCTTATATTTATGGTGTTTTGTAAACAAAGAATTTGATAAAGATGAATGTATCATGGTTATAAAAAATTGTTACTAAAAGAAGTTCATAAATATTTTTTATAATTTAATTTAGGTATTTGGTTCAGTTTTTGGATATTTGGTTCACTCACTCGCTCACATCATACACAAATCATATATAGTAAAAACAATCAATGCATGGAAATGAAAAAAAATATTCATTATGGTTTATACGTTTCGAGACCAGATGTGTCTCATCATTCAACTAAAAAATAGCATTATTCAATACAAAACTATCAATATAAGAATAACTAAATGACAAATTTTACATACCAAACCAGGAGAAAACCTAGAGTCAGCAAACTCATGCAACTATTTATTTAGAAAGACTGTAGCACTAATTGCAGAAACAACAAACAGGTACATAGAAAAAAAACATTGTACAACTATATTAAAAGATTATTTAAAATGATTTTTCTGAAAATTGAGGTTATGTCAATAAAAGTGACAGTTAAGAAAAGAATGACAATTAAATAATTACACTTTCTCATTCTAACATTGTTCTGTCCTGCTCTTAATTGACAATTATTAACATAACCTCAAATGTCAAATCAAATGTCAAAAAATAATTATAAGTTTTTATATAGTTTTACAATGTTTTTATTTTTTTAATGTACTTATTTGTCATTCCTGCTATTAATGCTACAGTTTTTTTTAATAAATAATATAAATTATTATTATAGGTAATAATAATTGCATTAGATTGTTTACTCTTAGCTGTCATCCAGTTTGGTATGTAAAATTTTACATTTTGTGTTTGTTATACTGATAATTTTGTATTAAATGATATTATATTTTAATTGAACGATAAAACAATTATAGTCTCGAAACGTATAAACTGAAATACATATTTCATTTTATTTCGACACATTGGCTGTTTTAACTATATATTAATGTTTCATTGTATATATATATATATATATATATATATATATATATATATATATTAATGTAAAAATATATATGTAATGTAAATATATATATTAATGTTAAATATGAACAATACAACACTCAGACTTTTAACACAAACTTTATTTAATAATTACAGCCGTTTTGACACCATGGTATTCTTATTACATTTATTACTACATATAATAATAATATCCATCCTGTCTCTTCATCTTCGACACTTAAGATTTGTTTTCAAATATTTCTGTATATATTCACATGGTCTCAAAACGTTTTAATTATTAAATAAAGTGTGTGTTAAAGATCTATGTGTTGTATTGTTCATATTTAACATTCATATATATACATATATATAAACTTCAAAATCATCCTAAATACATTGTTTTGTACAAACAGTTTGGAAAATAAAAATATAAAAAATTCAATAAGATATCCAATATTTCCTTTTTAATCACAAATTTTAACTAACATTATATAAAAGATCATTTTAATTAAAAAACGCAAATGAAATAAACATTATTACCACAATCTACTAAATTTCCACTTTTATGTGACTAACTAATTTTGTGAAACCGTCATTCAGAGTCTTAAGAAAGTTATCTGTCATAAGAAAGTTATCTGCTACCGTGTACTTCAACAAAATATTAAGGATGTATATATATATATATATATATATATATATATGTGTGTGTGTACACAATATTTAATGATTTATCTTTTCGTTTAATCAAACGGTATGTGTATATATATCCCGTATATAAATATATATGTATGTATGTATGTAAATAGCAACAAGTTTAAGGTGTGTTTATAGAGTTCAATACATATATTTTATATTATTTATGTATATCTGTATATCTTAGGTAAATCTCTCTCAACAAGCATGTTGTATATCATCGACAACATTATACAATTGCATCATTGTTGTACTAATATTCAGATAGCGGCAAGCTATGAAGTTATTAAAAGGGAAACAAACATTAAAAGGCATTAATTATTCACAAAATAATGTTTATGTCTCAAATTATTATTATGTATTTTTTAAGAAAATAGCACAATGATCTTTGTGACCGAAGTAACCATTACACAAATAGATTTATGTTTGTTTAGCTTTGTATGATTTGGGAATATAATATAAATATTTCACTGTTTCATTCATTGAGAATGTTTGTATTATATTAATATCACAAATCATAAAACAGAACACAAAAATATGAGCAATACATAGTATTAATAATTTGTTAAATAGTTTATTATAATTTACAACCATCAAAAAATTATTTATTCTATTATGAAGAGTATAAAACTAAAATTAAAATTCAATAAATTAAATAAAATAAAATTAAAGCTTAAGTTTATTGGTTATATTGAAAACATTTTTGTGTTCTGGGAAAGCACATAAATGTATTGTGTAGTTAAGTTTTTATATATAAAAGTTTAAATGTATAAATATATATGTACATATTTATATTTCAATGTATTATAATTTTTCATACATAAATATATACACATATATACAACAATATACTACATGGAATATTGATATAATATTTTTATACTGAAATAAGATCTTTCGTAAAGGTCATATTTGTATGTTGTACAACTCGCAAGGCATTACTAATTATTTAATAATATACTGGAGCAAGTAATAAGATCGATATCATTTTCAAACTTGCTGTGATACAATGTAACTAGTTAGCTGCTACTTGTGCTAAACGCTAGTAAAACATTTTTAAATTACTTGAAAAAGATTGGTACATACATCAACAACATTAATAAAATATCAAAGAGATAAAAAGTGAAAATCATGACTTTAATATTTAATGAATGATTAACAAGGGGTTTTATATAAAAAGTACTAAGTATAACTATAAAATCACTAATTTTATAATTCAGCATATAGCCAATACGTATGACGTGGCTCTTAATAGCTAAACTTAACTAACGGTAAAGTACCAAACATCTAACTCTGTTAATAAGATGCTAATTAATAAGATGTATACAAATATATACATATACATATATATAAAAACTACAAAACGCCTTCGTTATCTTCATTCACAATTTATTTATTATTAAGCTATTATCAAGACTATTTCATTTATTTTTCCTAATGATAATAAAATAAACCTTCATCTCGTTTGTGAATATTTCTTTTATCATCATTACGCATTTGGAATAAACTCATCATTTTTGCAATTACATAATAAATGAATACAGTTATATTTTTTGTATTTATATTTATAAAGGTACGTTAAATATCCTTAAAGGATTTTGAACACAAAAGGCATGTTACACAAATCTATTCTGATTTAGAATGAAAATTAACTATTTTAACTTCTCAGGTTTACATATTATTCAAAGTTTATGATATAATTTCAATCTGATACCATGAACCTATCATCTTAATAAAAATAAGCATTAAAGAATCACTGGGAAAGTTTTATCAAAGCTAATAAATAATTTGTTATTTAATTTTTTTTAGATCATACAAACACATTCATACAGGACAATGAAACTTATTCTTCCATTCGTAATTTATGGTAGAATAACATCTAGACGAGGGCTTCTTAGCCTTGGTATCACATTAAACAAAAAGAAAAAGATATTAGCTTATCAGTTCCAATAATTTTACTCAGGTAATTGAATCGATCCAAAAATGGATTCAAATCACATTTAAATAATCGACAATGATATGAAATAATTGAGGTAATATATGCAGATAGTGTCTAGAACAAAATGAAAGTATTATTTGAAAATGATAATATCACAAATAGAAAAAATAAATATAAAAATTTGAGCTATGAATAAAAAACTCGAGTGCTATATCTGCAAAACCTTAGTATTGCTTCCAAATTAAAACGATAAGTCAATCATATTCGATTTTTGTCAGTCAACAATGTGTACTTTTAAGCATTGAGTTACAAACTTATTCAGTGAGGTACGAGAGAGGTGAAAAAATGTGCTTACATTACTTATGCAAATGTTTTTCGATGTATACAAGTAATATCGAATTGACAAGTATACTAAACAGAATTTTGTGAACTATATGAAATCTCTAATTATATATATCTATATATTTGTATATGTATATTTCTTGTTAAATATATCATCTTTATATCATTTAGTTAAGGCAAAATGTATCGTCACCATTGTATCTGGAAAGAAAAGATACCATATACAGCTAGAAAAAGGATCACATGCCCAACACAGAAGGCAAATCAATTCACTGGAGCACATCCATTAAAAGTAGTGGTGAGAGTGAATAGAACAGTCCCGGCTAATTCATAGCTGGGACGATGAGATCTCAATTCATTCCCCTTCAGTGTATTTTTAAAAAAGGAGACTGCTGCTTGTTGATAATAGAAACTGTTTTTTTTTTCTTGTAAGTACAGTGGCTTCACTTTATACTTACTTAATCTTATGTTATAAGATCCTGAGCATTATCAATAGAGAACAGCTCTTTGTACAATGCCGGGAAAACATATTGCGGATGAGCCAATTTGAATTTGCTGAGTGCTTCCATGTGCAGCAGGCTCAATTCCCTGAAAAATTTAGAAAACGTTAAACATAACATATTTAGTACAACTGTAAAGAATATAAAAAAATGTAAATAATGTTCTAATTTATTTGAAGAATTTAATTTGGGAATTTTGTTAGTTTTAACTATGAGCAACATACTTAATTATACTGATTACTTATAAAGTAACAAATTTATTTAAATTTGTTAAAAACATGGAACTTTATAGTCATATTTTATAAATCATTTTTTAAACTATTTTGTAGCTATATTTTAAAATTTTAATTTCATTTTAAGAATAATCAATTAGTATTTTATGATGAAACTATAAAACATATTTTCTATAATACCTTACTCAATATGCCAAGTTTTAGAAAAATAATATGAAAATCATAATTCTGAAGAGTTTGGCAATATTTATTTCAATCACATAAAAAACTATAAAAAATATTTTTAATGTAATAATATTAAATAATTTTTGCAGCAAGCATTATTCTACCAAAAAATTCGTTATACTTTAAAATGTTTATGAATACTCACATTTTCGAATACTCATATTGTTTTAATCAAATTTATCTTACTATAGTTCTCATGCTTTAAGGTTGAATGATAAGTAGTTATTATTCACATTAATAATTGAAGTTAATATAATGTTGATAAAAAATTATTTAAATATCTAAAAATTTAATCATCGATTATACCTGAATGTAGGAATCTTTGCCAAAAGGGTATCCAAAACAGTGACATCACCTTTAATTGGTGCATGATTCAATTCTATTTCATGTCGTATAGCAGATATACTCATGTTAAATAACCTCTGGATTTCTGTGTTTCCTCTTACACCATGACGCTCTGCATTGAAAAAAAAATGCATTTCAGAATAAATATAGATATTAAATCATTATTTAATATGGTGCATCATTGAAGAAAAAATATTATTTTAAGGCAAAAATAGACTATGATCCTTATACATATTTGATTACTGAATATTATTTCAAATATTACAAGTTACAAACTACAGTACAGAGACTGTATGAGTTATTTTTAAATTTCTATTGTTTTTTTATAATTACCAGGCCAAAGCAGTACCAGACTCTGGTACAAGGCTAATTCAGTCTCAGTAAGCTTGAGTTCAGCTATACTTTTGGCAGTCTCAAATATACAGGCGACGAGTTTCATTTCCAGGGAATCTGATGTGTAGAACGCTTCTTGAGGCAACATTATGTCTCCATATAGCACTGCGTTCTGGGACAGATCCATTAACCGGGACATTCGAACTATTGCTAATTCAAATGAACCTAAAATGGGTATTTTATTAATTTACAATAATGTAAGAATATGATTTTTCTTGTTATGATGAATCAAAGTTGTGTTAAGTTAGTAATTGAGCTTTGCAAATTAATATTCAAAGTCACACAACTCAATGGATACCTGTTTTTAACAATAATATCTGATCGTCTTGCGAAAGTCGCATAAAGCCAGGAATTAATTTGGCAAATTCGATGATACTTTGAATAATTGAAGTTAATTTCTCAGCACAATCAAGCCATAGTTCTTCTTGACCCATATTTTTGTAGTAAATCAACCTAGCAACGTCTTGAGGCTTACGAAACATTTCTAGGATATACTCGAGTTTTGGATTAGTGTTGGTGTGAGCTTCAGCAAGTGTTTTGATTAATACATCGTTGATATCTCCATCCACTGCAATGTAAAACGGTGTTAGACATGTTTATAAAAAAAATCTAAATACCATATAGGCATCGGGTGCAGCAGGAGGCGAACACACAATCAGAATAAACATGCCGGATTCATAACATAATAACAACGAAATTAAACATTCATATAGATACGTATTTAAACAGTAATTATATTCGAAGAGCTTAAAGAGAAAATCGGGATTGAGGTTGAACGAAGGGGTAGCGAGCACGGACTACAAGAACTCATCTAAATACTAAGGTAGAGGTAGGTAGGTAAAAAAAATTAGCAATCCACAAATCCTGTTTGTAGCCTGACTTACGATTGGACTCACAAGAGCTGTCATCTTCGTTGACGAATGGCGATATGGTTGTCTGAGTATGACAACACCCCTGGCCGCCGGTTTGGACGCGGGTGCTGAAAGCGGGCGCAGTGGATGCCGCGGCACTTTGCTGTTGCTGAGCGGCCTGCGTTTGCTGAGTTTGTGTTTGCTGCGTTTGGGATTGTGACAATGACAAGGATTGGGAGTGCGATTGGCCGAGACATGCGCCCGGGGAAGTCAGGAAGGTCGTCGAATCGACGTAACTCGGCACGATGTTATCGGCGCCGGTGCTTCCGCCGCTTATAGCTTCTTGTTTGACCGACACGACGGAGCCCGGGGATGCGGGGCTGGGGGGATTTTGAATACGCGACAGGCGAATGTCGTTTAAGGTGATCGTTCGGGACTGTTGTATGGCGCCAGTTGTATTAGGCTGCTGCCCTTTGCCTAACAGGAATTAGTTGTTAATGACATCCTAGCATGTTAGGATTAAGAAAATATTCAATTTTACAGCTTTTAACGGATTAGGATAAATCAGTTTTTTTACGCTTATGATGAACTTAAGTATCTTTTTCAACAATTATAGGCTTTATAAATAATTTTTTCAAAAAAAATAATATCCATTCACACAGATTTGCTTAAATGGTTTAACTAATTAATTTTTTAAATCCAGAAGTAATTTTATATGAATTTTAACATTTCACCGTGTGCAACTATGACATTTAGATCTTAACATTTTTTAAACAAATTATCTATTTTATAACGAATTTCACTTGAAATTAAGTATTTAACTTGTAAATTAAAAACTTGTACATATATACAGGTAGTAAAAACAACACGAACACATATTGTACAATTAATTTACAGTACGAGTATGTGACAAAAAAAATTAGCAACGAAGCTATGTACATTAAAAATGATCTTATATAAAAAATATATGTATTTCAAGCTCGATGCACATAAAATGATACTAACTGTGACTGCCGATGAAATCCGTTTCGAGCATTCCTCCACCGGGCCTGGGTTCGTAGGCCGTAGTGCTGTCTACGTAATCAGCAGAAATGTCGTAGCCGAGAGATCCTTGTGCCTGCGGCGTCACCGGTGTACCGTAGCCGTATGGGCTGCCGTAGCCCACTTCATTTGTATACGTGTATCTAAGAAAAGAAAATATGGGTAAAAAGCGGAAAGTATGAGGTAAATATATAATATAATAATAAAATATGAATATAATAAAGCAGAAAAATAAATATTTAAACTATATAATAATTATATGATTTATTTTTACTTAAATAATGTGAATTTCATCTTCAAACAGTTATAATCAGTAGTATCAATGATTTCCTAAATCAAACGCAATTGAACGCTCATTTCTGGCAATCGTAATGTAATTAGCTCCGAAACATAATAATACCAGTCACCAGCTTTATTTTTCTTTAATATTTAATTTTTCACATTTGCATTGGATTGTATTTAAAGAAATTTATTTTTCACACTAGTGATGACACAGAAATTGATTTATTTTCAATATGTTGCTATGATTATGTTTCTCATATGCTAGGTTTGAAATTTCTCAAGTAATTTATAATTTAGATAGTGCCTTCCCTGTTTTTTATTTTACTATTATTAATATCAATCAGAACCTAATGGTCCTATAAACTTATGATGACTTTTTAATAGCGTGGCAATGGAAGGCAACCCAACGGTTTCCTATCTCATTTCAAGGGTTTTCTTTATTAGAATTTCTCTAATACTGATTATTGATGAACGAAGTAATGCCAGGAAAGTGCTATTTTGGCTTGAAAATATATTGCTATCTATATTTCGCAACGAAAAACATTGTAACTACTGCTTGACATCAGGCTGTCCGAAGCGGGTATCAAACTTGGAATTTCTAATTGGAAATCTATAGCTCTAATCATGGAAAACTCTATGCCTATATTTTTAAAAAAATTACATTATTTCTTACCCGTTGTAACCATGGTGCAACTGATCGCTGCTGGACGGTGTCTGTTGTTCGAACACGGAACTGTCTGGCGCGGAATCGGACTGCGCCCGCATCTGCGCCCTGTGAAACCGCACCTCATCTTCGACCTTCTCGCGTTGCTTCTTCGACATCCGACCAAATTTTACGGCTGTAAAAGAAAAAAATGTTATAAATATTTATTCAATAAAAATGTATAGAAATAAATATTTTATATAAAAAATGAACTGCGGAGGATTTACTCAAACCATACACAAAATTTTATTATTACATTATATTTTTTATTTGATAATATTGCATCCCCTTAAAGGAAGTGAAACAACTAAAAAAAATTAGATGTCACATTTTGTGCGCATTATATTCCAACTAGATTAACCTTGAACCCCGAAAATTGTCATGAGTCAGAATTTTATAAATATGTAAGTTTAATAAAATAAAAATTTAGAAATATAGCACTAGTAAAAATATGAGCGAATTTTGGGAGTTCTATATTCTATGTACAACTCCAAGTATAAATTGCACTAAATTGACACCAAGAGACAATTTTAAATTTTCACTTTACTGCACAATTTAACATTTTTTACTGGAGTCACCGTTCTTGTGCAAGTGCAATATAATTTCACCTAATGGACTTAAATTTCAATGAATTTAAACTTAATTTTGAACGTGTAAATCCAGTTCTATTAGCAAATTTATTTATCAGGATACGTCATATTTATATCTGGTAATATATAAACGATACATCCTTATATAATATAATACTTTTAATTGTTGTCTGTCAAGACTATACTAGCATTATAATCAGATGTTGCTTTAAATTATTTGGTGTTTCAGAACATTCTGTTTTTCAATAGAACTTTCGCCTCCAATCTGTTACTATAGATAAGCCGGTCCTGAATAAAAATATACCACAATTACTATTACAGCTAACTATTTTCAATAACCTCCATAAATTACACATAGAAATCAGAAAGGTGCATAAATTTCAGTTACTCGCAGGCTTTTCCAGGCGTAAATTTGTTTCGATTGTCACGTAGACACATTTTCGGCGAACTCTCGAATCTCTAGCGATCTTTTACGTAGGAAAGATTTTTGGAGTTCGTGCGAGCACACACGATCAGAAAAAAAGTAAAAGTGCTATGTGAAAGCCGTTTGCTATATGTCGATTGTGTTATACAACCACTTTCATATGTCATAAAATTTAATAAATAAATTATATATAGGCGCATTTACGGAGCTTATATACAAATACTTACACATTTTTAAATATATGTGAGTACAAATGTGAGTATTCAGATCATTGGTAAAAATAATACAATGTATTTAATGAATTATTATAATTTTTATTGATTTAGATCGTTGAGATTTATTTATTGTTTAATTAAATGTTTATGTTTTGTTATGTTACATATTATTGTCGCAATAAAAGTCTTTATAAACCATTTTGGTTTTTATAGCTTTTGTTTTATTTTAATACCTGACACAACCGTGCCTAAAGGTGGACGTTTATGAAACTCGCCCTTTCTTGTATAATTTGAGTTTATCACTCTTTTGTAATTTTACGTAGACAAATGTTCAAATCACCATTCAATTAACTTTTGTCCCAGCTAACTGGTAAATTAACAAAATTATGGCTGATAAAAAAAAAGTGGTACAACCGTACCCAGTCTCCTCTACTTTTTTTTTCAAAAAGTAATAGAAAATCCTAATTGAAAAGAAGTATGTTTAATTAAATAAGGATACTTCTATTTGCATCAACGTGTCGTTTATATAATTTAAAGCTCATTATAAGCAAACTTAATTGTTGTGCTGGTAAAAGATCATGATTAGCGTCGTAGTAACATAGTTTTCGCGTATAATAGAAACAGTATTTATTGCATATTAAAACACGCGTTGTATTAAACAAGTAAAAAGACTTATCCTATGATAACAGTGCGAATGTACGCCGTTTTATAATATTACTTATATTACTTGCTTGATGTATATATTGCTGGAATATTTGAAACGCCTATTGCGAGCGTCCGTAGCTAAGAATCACGAAATAGGCATTATCATGTCATAAATAAGAGCTGTAGACGCGGAAGCCTAGCATACTTCCTTTTCTAATAGTTTATTTTAAGTATATAATTTACAAGTATAAATATAAATCGATTGAACTCGCAAGCATCCGTAATATTTTATCTAAGCCCTATACTTTTACAACACTATTGAGAGGAATCCAATTAAATAATACCATTAACAGTTATCATAATAATCATCTTTAGTATGTTGCATCCTCTAAAAGGCGTTAACAATTCGTTATCATTAAGTAGTCTTGGCGAATTATTCATTCATGAAATCACATAAGAAATAAGATATATTAATATACAGGTAAATTAGAAATAGAAAGCTCAAGTGCAGTGAGTATTGCAGAAGTTCGGTTCCATAAAATGCCAAAAATATCTCGTTACTTTTAAAAAAAATTATGTAATAATTACTCTGCTAAAAATACAAATTATCATACAAACAACACTTAATAATATTTGAAGTAGAAAACCGTGACTTGGCTTATTATGATAGAATATTGATTATTTATTTTATTTATTTGTCAATGCTTGCGAGCGGCTGTATACATAAAAATATGAAAGAAAATGAAATAAGAAATTTAAGGTTTATGACAAAACATACTTAATATTTTTTATTCGGTCTTTAAGCACTATTTTTCAAGTCCATATCAATTTATTCACATCTACATCAATTTATTCGGGTATAAATCAATTTATTTTTGTATACAACACCCAACCAGGATTCGACCCGAGTAAACGAGTCGAGCGTAACCACTTGGCCAAATCGATTAAAAATCATTAAATATTAATAAACCCTATAATATAATTTTGTATTTAGCTAGATGTTTATAATTAAAAAAAAATAAAATAAAGATACAAAATTTCATGGTACCTACCAACGTCCAATTCAATAAAATTTCTACAATTTTCTTGTTAAAGATTATCGAAAAATGCTTTATAATAGGATTGCACATATCGTTCTTCAAAACAAACTACTTTTTACAATATCTATATAGCTAATAAGATTTTACTTGGAAACACATTTCTGTCCATATTTTTATATTAAAATAGATATCACTACTGCTTGATACCAGGTTGTCTATATATATTTAATATGTTTTCATTAAATTTTTTTTTTAACTAATTATAGCTATTGTTCACGTAAAAACTCATTTCTGTCTATATTTTTATGTGAAAATAGATTTCATTACTTCTTGATATCAAGTTGTCCGTAACACGATTCTAAACCTGGGTCCCCACGATTACAAAGCAATTATGAAAATCCGATAATAATTAATATATTATGTTTTACAAAATTAATGATACTGCAAAATCTGAAGCACAATTATAATTTTCATAGCAGCTACGCGTCAGTTCTATCCAGATGAAATTGTTCTCCTGTTCTGAGATTAAGTTACAGTATCATACATGTAAATTTATGGTAAGGCGTAATTAATTACAAAGACCATTCGGCTTCTCGCGGGGTGGTATTACGCAACGCAAAGCATATGCAGTCGGCAATAAATCAGCGGCAATGCAAGAAAACACGCATTTCCACGAGCGCTATGCAAAAGGAAAACGATTTTTGCACGCTCGGTTAGCTAATGCATTACACGTCGGTTAATCAACAACGAACGCACTGCCGGACTGGACTGGATATCCATCGCTCGTGTGTGATATAATAGAAGAAATAAAGGAACGAATGATAAAGACAATATTGCATTTCGTTACTACTTTTGAATTCTTCATTAACGTACTTGCGATTATGTTCACGATTTCTTTGGCGTAACAAAAATTTAAAACACGAGCATACGAATTTGTACAATTCTAGTAAAATATTAGTGAGTGCCAACTCGATTCTAGTGATTCGAATCATTCGAATCAAGCCCTTAACAACCTGATTCGAATCACATTTTATTTGATATACGTTGATATCGATCCGAAAAATATTTAATGTGATACAATATGTATGAACTACGGCCAACCCTGACATCAGGCAACTTTGATGTCAAATTTCCACTTGGGGTTATAAATCACAATATAATTCCAAGTGGAAATCGTCCTTCGTGGACATATTTGCATCATTCAATCATATGTAAACTATTAAACGAGCTAATTTATAAACCCCTCACATAGGAGAATGGTGAACCGATGGGTTGCCTCTCAAAATAATACCTTAGGTCATAAGTCTTGAACAAAACAGCTCATAGAACATATGAAGTAAGAGTTCTGATTGCTGTTGAAACAATAAATATAAAAAATATGTATGAACATGCATTTTATTAAATAAAAACCGAACAATTTTAATTAATATAAATATAAAAATAAAAAATGAATTAAATCATGCGAGCCACCCAGCTTAAATCGACTCATTCGAGTTACTCAAATGCTCCGAAGCAATCGAATCATTCGAGTTACTGGCATGATCCGAATCAATCGAATCATTCGAGTCACTCGCAGATCCAGTTATGTGCCAACTCGAATCAAGTGATCCAAATCATCCGAATCAAACCCTTAACAACTTGATTCGAATCACATTTTATTTGATTCGAATCAACGTGTATCGAGCCGAAAAATATTTAATGTAATACAATATGTATGAGCATACATTTTAATAAATAAAAAACCAAATAATTTTAATTAATATAAATATGAATATAAAAAATGAATTAAAACTTGTGAGGCACCTGGCTTCAATCGACTCATTCGAATTACTCGCATGACCCCATAGATAAACAAGTATAAATCCGAATCAATCGAATCATTCGAGTTACTCGCATGATTCGAATTGAATCGGATCATTCGAGTTACTAGCTTGCATGCAGGCGATTCAGTTATAACAGCGTCATTGTCTTTGGATTTGACAGGGCACTGAGAGTGAATTCTGGTAGTGGAATGATTTTTTTCGACAAGATGTTATTAGGTATTAGTATTGACTAGTCAGATAAAGCGAACGATTTCACATTCAGCTATCCGTTTAGACAAATAAAATAATCACGCTATCAAATGATCCAAGATTCTGATTATTATTTTATGTGCTTTAGTGATGCAGAAGTGTTTGGTTATTTTCTATTGTGAATTGATTTGAAATTATATTTCAAACATT